CTGTGTTTGGGAGCTGTGCTGAGGATGGTCTCTTAAATATTTGGGACTATGAGAAGGTATAGATACTCCTGTCCTTGGCACTTCCTCAGACTTGTCTCTTTCTCCCTTTATCCCTTCTCTCTTGTGTCTTATTCCTCTAGTTCAAATTATTACAATTCTTCTGGAGTCCAGCTTCTTAAAGAAGCTTTTTTATTTGTAAATGCTGCTGTGTGATCTTCATCTTCTGTAACAATGCTAGTCTTTGGATAGCGAAGTGTTTGTCTGCAAAAGATACATGATAACTGTACATTCTGCAATGCAAAAGGGAGGGGAGAGTGGGTACACATTTTAAAATGTCAGCTGGATTCTTTAATTCCAACTAATACCTTCACAGAAAAAGAAGCAAAATGAAATCTGCTCATGATATGTTATAAATATACTTACACAGTGGTGATCACTTGTCAAATTTATTATCTTGTTTGGCCTTTGATGCTTTATCGTATAAAGGCAATGATTCTTTAGTCTAAAATGTTCCAAGTTTGAAAAATTCCTTGTTGACCGGTAGAGCTCAGATGTTGGTAGTATGAGTTATTATGTATTTATTAGTAGTGGGTATCTGGTGCACATTCAAATAAAGCAGCAGCCGAATGATGAATTGAGATGTGTTCTATATTCATTTATTTATAAGCAAGTAATTCTCCTTATAGTTTTAGTTGATTTTCTTGACAGGTTGGTGCAGCAAAAGATTCTGATATCGAGTCTGATGAAGATGAAGAGGAGTCTCCACCAGGCTTGTTTTTCCAGCATGCTGGCCACAGGTTAGAACCCCTTTATGCTGGGTTGCTGCTTCTTGGCTTTGTTTCTTTTTCCCTATTGGACTTGAAACAAAACAGAGACTATAAATCAATCTACCTAATCTATTTATTTTTGTTTTGTATTCTCTTTCTCCTAAGGAGGTAGGGGGATAGTGATAAATTTCTAAAGTTTGATGGCACTTAGTTTTGGGTCATGGGACAAACGAAGCAATGAGTACTAACTGCATACTACTCTATATTGGCAACTGAATTTTTTGAGTTTGACCCAGGGATAAAATTGTGGACTTTCACTGGAATGCTTGTGATCCATGGACTATTGTTAGTGTATCTGATGATGCGGAGACCTCTGGTGGAGGCGGCACATTACAGGTTCATAATCATTTCTGTTGCTGCCATTTTTGAGTATGATATAATTTGGCTCTAATCATTAGATTGGATTGTACAGATATGGCGTATGATTGATATGTTGTACCGGCCGAAGGATGAAGTTTTGGCTGAGATGCAACATTTCAAGGACCATGTGGGCAAGTGTACCCCTAAGTCGAAAGGCTGAGTTATTTTAGCGCAATAGTAGGCTGACATTATATAAGTTAAACAGTATGTGTAATAGTTGGAATGGAGCAGTTATATTTGCATGTAAAAGATATGCTGGAAAATGGTTACTATGCTAGTAGACAGCAAGCGTCAAGCTATCCAAGACTGTGGAGCATGTTGTTGTATGTACTGCATCTGTGCTAATTTGCTCCTTGATGTTTTGCATTTTCTTATTTAGCATGATGTTTTCTGTTTGGACGTGAAAGGATCAGCTCCTTTCATCTAGGTGTGGTAATTGGATGGGTTGGGTCAACATCTAACTCAATCTAAATTTGCTTGGCTCAAAACGGGTTACGTAATGATATATAATTGGTCAAGACCATGGCTGTGTTTGGTATGAAAGAAAACACCATTTTTTTTCATGTTTGATCGACTTAAAGGTATGTTTTTCGAATAAATTAATTATCTTTAAATTTAAGAAAAATGAATTTTCTTCAAGAATAAAGGGAAACTTTTTTCAAAACTTCAAGTTATAGTTTTTTTTTTCCTTGCCCTGATCCTCCCATCAAAACAATAAAATTAAAAATTTAAAAATATTTTGATCTTTTGTACCCCTAACCCCCCTCTCCCCCGAACCTGCTCCAGCCCTATTTTAGAATTTTTATTTCTCATCCCACCCTATTTCGACCACCCCTCCCCCCCTCCGAAAAAAAATTAATTTTTTAAAAAGAATTTTATTTTTTTCACTTTTAACCCCACCCCTCCCTTTTTTTTAAGGAGTTGTTTCTAAAAAGTATTTTACAAAATTTTAAATTATTACTTCCTCCGTCCCATTTTATGTGGCACCCTTTCCTTTCTAGTCCGTCCCAAAAAGTGTCACCTTACCATAATTAGAAATAATTTAACTTTAGAATACCCCTTTTACCCTTAATGAAATGATTTTCAAATACACAAATATCTAAGAATTATTTTAGATTACAAGTTTCAAAAAATCTTTCTTTTTTCTTAAATACCGTGCTAAGTCAAATGGTGTCACATAAAATGGGACGGAGGGAGTATTATTTACTCATCCTTACACCCCCCCCCCCCCCCCAATATACACACAAAAAGAGAAATTTAAAATATGGTCGGGTTTAGAAGTTGGGGTAATTTTTGGTCTCGCATCGGTTGTGATTTGTCGGGTCCTGATTGGGAAGTTAGGTCTCGATTTGAGTGTTGGAGTCGAATCTTGAATTGATCAATCATGTTCAAGTTAGAATATTGGGGGTTAGGTCTTAAGTTGGATATTCGGTCCCAGTTCGAATGTCGGGTTTCGGGTTGGATCCTGGGTCAGATCTCGGGGTTGGGTTTTGAAATTGGTTGTAGGGTTGTGTCCTAGTTTGGGTGTCGGGGTCATGCCCTAGATTGATTATCGAGGCTGGCAACCTGACATTTGGATTATAAATTATTTTCTACTCACTAACCAAAATAAAGATATTTTCTAAAAAAATGTTTTTCATTCACCAACCAAACACTAAAAAATATTTTCTACTCATCAACTAAACATGAGAAAATAAATTAAAAATTCACTTGTTTTCTAAGAACATTTTCCAGGAAAACATTTTACTTCATACCAAACACACCCCAAAATTCAATCCAAGTTTTACTAAGCTTAATTGTTTCATTTGTTCTTTTAAAATATTTTAATATCTATTAAAATATTTTTTTTCTTTCAATGGCTATATATAACATATCAAGTTGAAAAAATATTTTTTTTAAAACAAAAATATTTGACAAAAATTTTCATGAGCCAATTCGGGTTACTCATCATCCTAATTTTTAATGGATTGGATAAAAAAGTTAATGAATGAGCGAATCAATAATTTGTCCAAACTTAAACGGATTGAGTTTGATTTTGCCACCCCTACTCTACGAAACAGCTATAGATACAATATATACTACCACATGGAGAACCAGGTTCAAGGAAACGAGTAATGAGGACTCATATTTTATCAGTGAATGAATTTAACTTGCATAAATAACAATAAAATCATAGAGTGACCATCAGCAAAATGAAAACAGCAACTTATGGGACAAAGACATAAATGGCCATATGGGTGAAGTTGTCGACACTGGATGACCAAGAAGCTTAAAAAACACTTTTGAGGCTTTGTAGTCTTTTTTCAACTAATTTTGGCACGTGTATAGAACTATATCATTATCGTATAGAATATGTATCACTACTGATATTCTCTTATTATAGGAGACTTGATGTTGAAGCAGACATGTCTAATCAATGTGTCAGTTTTAGTAAGGGTATTTTTGGAAAATAATTTTTTTGGTTCTATTTAATTAAGGGTCATTTGGTAGTGTATCAGGAGAAATATTTCATGTATTATGTATGGTACTATTTAGGAAAAATTACCTAAATACACATCTTATTTTATCATAATCTCTAAAATTCTCTACCATTTTAAAAAAAAATTAAAAACTCCCTCTCGGATACATCACTCTCCTCTCGCTAATACATACCTATCCCCCTCTCAGATACATCCCTCACCTATGTATCTGGATGTCTGTTAATGTATCCGGAAGTCTACTGATGTATCCAGAAGTCCAGTGATGTATTCGAAATCCATAAATTTTAAGGGATTTTGGTAATTTGAAAAAGAGTAAGAAAATAATGTAATTAGCTCTTAACACTATGAAATTTAGGTAAATTATACAATTATTTAGTACTAGTTTGATAGGAATTTTGGGCCTAGGTACATGATATTATAGAGTGTGTACTAGTGAGATATAAGATTTAATACAATGGGATTAATTTTTGGTGTCTCCGACGGTGGTGGCCGGTACATTGGCAGACTTGGTCTATAGTTTATTTGTGGGTAAATCAGGTGGGTTAAATGGGTTATGAACGGGTATTTAAAATTTGGGTTAAATAATTGGTCAACTCGGGTTGTGGCTTATGATTGAGCCACATGTACAAAATGAGTGTTCCGTTAGTGTGACGGGCAAATGTGCATTGATTATTGGATGGCAAGGGCTCTGATGGACAAAAAGTATGACGGAGGGTATTGACATACTATTTTTGAAAGTTCGGGGATATATTTATCCTTTTTCTCATAATAATTATTAGATATTTATTTTACACTTAATAAGATGATTTTAAATCGCCTAATTTACACCTTTAAAAAAAGTTAGTTTCAACTATATATACAATAAAATAATTAATTTACAACAAATATAATCATGTTTATTTACATAAAAAATAGAATGAAGTTTCAAACACATCTGAATTATCTCCTTTTTTTGAGTTTCATACTTAGACTATTGAGAATATGAGTTTCATACCTAAAATATCCCTCATTAGTTTGAGTTCCCATTCAGCATTAATCAAGCATCTTGAGGCACAAATGAATCACTTGTCATCTCAAATGAATCATTGGATGAAAGATAGGAAGACACTTTTCTTAATCCATAGAATGATGGCCATTTGTTACTAGAAGTGGAAAAGTACTTGAAGGTGTGGGGTAATGAACACAAAAATGTTGTGTGTGATAAGAAGAGTTATGATAAGTTGAAGGATGGGGTGAAGCCTAGTAAACCCATGCTGATTTTTAATGAAAATGGCATTGTGGAAGAGGAAAGTTCAAAGGATGAGATCTTAGCAGCAGATCACTCGTTTGCCTCCAAGGTTCAAACTCAATACCAGAAGATAAAGAACTATGATTCCTTTTATGAACAATTAGCATGTTACAATAAATACAATCTTCTTACATAAGATGAAATCACTATTCAGATATCTTGTCGCGCACAGTTCTTCCCAGCTTTTGGCAGAGGGTTTATCATACTCATGGATTACGCGATAGCATTCAGGACAATTTGAGTATGTTGGTGTTTGCTTCCTCATTCTATGTCTTGATAAAGAAGGTACTGTACAATTCCATGCTCAATCTAGTATACCCAGCATGGATGGCGAAAATTGAATATTTTGCAGAAACATTTATCAAAATCAAAGATGGAAACTTCAATTAGTGGGATCCAGGCCGTAACTCAAACATCACGCCGTGCTCGCTCAAACTACCTCCAGATAATCTTCTCATTTTCTGCCATAGCCTCCTGGTTTTTCCTTTTCTCAGAGGACCTGAGCTAGAGTACCTCCTAAATGAATCAGATTTTTGCCTTCCGTATCTTGCTAACGGACTCAGTAAATCTGACATTGAAAGTCCCCTCTCAACATCCAGCTCACTGTCAGAGTTAGAAACTGGGGATTGAGGTTGTATAGGGTTCAGGACTTGGCTTGAAGTTGTACTAATCCTAGTATCCATGTCAATAGACAGATCATCTTGGCTACAACTTCGAGACACTACGTCTTTTGTCTGTCCACATTCGTTACATACCAGCTTTAAGGCCTGGACAACCTCACCCATGAAAGGTCTGTGTGATACCTCTGGTTGAACACACATTGACGCAATAGCAGCTACTTTTACAATGTCATCGAAAGGGAAATCAGGCCCCAAATTACGGTCCACAATCAACTCCAGACCTTCTTCACTCGTTAGGAGTGGGCGTGCCCAAGCCACTAAATTCTCTTGACCTGGTGGCTGAGACATATCCACTGGCTTTTTTCCAGTTAGCAGCTCAAGAAGGACAACACCATAGCTGTAAACATCACTCTTTACGAGTAGATGCCCTGTCATAGCATATTCTGGAGCTACGTACCTGGTAAAATAACAAAGTCAGAAGTGTACAACAGAAGAATGAAATGTTATGCATAGTCAGTTTCAATTGATTGAGGACAATCCGTCCACTATGTAATAACACCTTTCGAGTAAAAATAAATAAGGCATTCAAAAGGAAAAAAAATTATACTCCAGGAAAGCAGACCAGCTGATCTGCTTAAGGGGTTTGGGACTTTGTCAGTCATAAACGGGACGAAGGCTGGCCTAATGAAAATACAAATATTAAGTCAGATGAATATATTACCCAAAAGTTCCCATGACTCGAGTGGATATGTGTCTTTCTCCTTCATCTAATGCAGCTCTAGCCAAACCAAAATCAGACACTTTCGGGGTGAAATCATGTTCCAGTAAGATGTTACTAGACTTAAAATCCCTGTGTATGACACGGGGACTGGAATCTTCATGTAAATAGGCCAGGCCTCGGGCAGCACCAAGTGCTATTTTCATTCGGGCATTCCAATCAAGTGGAGAACTTTCCTTGTCAACACCTGAAAGACTGTTTTTTAGCCAGTCTGAAATCTAAATACACATGACTTCAACCAAAAAAGTTACGAGTGATCCAAATTGAATATTACCATGAAGGTGAGATTCCACGCTGCCATTTGGGATGAGCTCATAAAGTAAACAGCGACTGCGCTCCTCAAGACATATACCTATCAACTTGACCAAGTTCCTATGATGGAGGCGGCTAAGCATCTCTACTTCAGCCAAAAATTCACGACCACCCTGTTGGTCATCTCTCTTGAGGACTTTCACTGCCACTTTCATCCCATCATCAAGCACACCACTATAAACACGACCAAATCCCCCTTCACCTAGTACTCTTGCTTCATTGAAGCTGTCAGTTGCTCTATCAATTTCCTTTGAAGAAAATGTTCTAGCTGAACCAGTATAAGCAGCAAAGCTTGAACTAAAGGATAATGTAGGAGAGTTCGGCCTACTCCCAATCATGGAGGCTGCAATCCCTACACCATGCATAAAGATCAGGAAATAATTCTATTAAGTCTTTATTACACAAGACTTGTGAGAATCACATATTTGTACACATTTTAGATGCATATTAATAAATTTGTGAAGTTTGAAGGTTCCTGAATGCACCCATTAAGAGTTGATACTTCAAGATATTCCAGTCAAAAGATATTGGATGACTCACCATATTAACATTATGCAACTAACCAGATAACTTTTCCTATATTCCATTTCATAATTTTGGACATTTCATTCCATTGTATGCTCAGGATAAGTAGTAAAAGTAACCGAGTTGAGCAACATATAGCATATTCAAAACTCCAATATGATTTACTTTCCCCTAACATAGTATTTTCCTGGCATGCTACAAAGGCATGGCGATAATGAGAGGCTAGGCTTCTGAAGTTTACTGTTTGAATGTCTTTTTCAGCATGAAAGAAGAAAACTAACACAGAGAATACGAACACTAGGCAAACCACATGGCAGTAGATCATTTACATGTCAAGAGAAGGATTTCACCTGACGACTTTGCAAGGGATGGTAATGTAGTTGGTGGAGTTGGTTCTAACTGATATCTGTGATCTCTATGTCTGAAAAGCAAAACCCATGCAACGGCACAACATAAAATAACTGCGACAGAGGCTGACAACACAATTACTGCTATGACACTCCGATTCGGCCCACTTTTGTGCTGTTGCCCCCTCACATCAACTCCAAGGGGCTGTATGGTCCTTCCGTTATTATCACCAGGATATGGTTGGCTACCTATGGTATCAATGTCTGAAGCTGCTGAAGGAGGAGAGGGAGGAAGACCTGTACATATAACAATTCTATTTAGTTACTCGGGACATAGCATGTGGCATCAAGATGACACAATGGCATTAGGAATGATTCTATACCTGGATATTGCACATATAATACATCATAATCACCAAAAAGTGATTTTATAACAATTTGTTTGTGCCAGAATCTTTGTGATGTCATAAATGCTGTAGTGTTATCAAATTTTTCTCCGAGGGGTACCAAATCAATAAGGACAATGGTCTTTTCTGGATACTGGCTGGCTGAATTTGCTCCCATTATACGAACTTGACTTGGATCCATAAATACCCCAACAGAAACTTCTGTAGCTAACTCTGAAACCAAAGGGAAGAATGTGTAGAGTGCTACACTAAGGCGTAGTCCAATTTGCATGGGCAAGACACAAACACAAGGTGCTTTGGGTGGACCATTTGTGAAAGGCTCCGCACAAGCCAATGAAGCGCAATCTGCAACATCAACGTCATGTTTAGAATAGTCAATGGGGCAAAACCTGGCAACTTGTGCATGTAAAATCTATATCATTTAGAGGAGAAATCAGAGGCAGATAAAACATACCTTCATTAGGAGGTGGAGGTGGTAGTGCTTGAAATGGATGCGGTATCTTTGGATGCCTTGGTGAAGACCCAGAGGGAGACATTTTAGGGGAAAGAAATGGCTCTTGCAATGACAAAGATGATATAGAGATAAGCATTAACTATGCATAGGAATGAAAATAAAATATAAGGTTAATGCCTTGACTATGGATTGCATGAAAAGGGAACATATGCCATACTCTTACTTTTAGTTGGTCTAGATGAAGCACTTGGAGACGGTGATATTGCAGGAGAATCATGACTTTCTGGAGAAGTTAAAGGCGCAAGCATCGGTGGTACTGACAATCCTGTAAAGTAGGAGTTATCAGAATCACTTTTTTTCTTTTCGCTATTCATTTTTCTTTCAGAGAGGCAAATGGATGGTCAACTGAGGATGACTAGAATGACCACAAACCTGCAGTTAACGGTGAATGAGAGTGGTGCCTAAGGTTAGTCTTTGGATATGATTTTGAGTGAAACGAAGGAGATGAAGAAATCAATGGACCTTCATTAAATATTGACTGAATTCTGGTTAGTGTCGTATATCAGAATGAGGATATCAACTGACATTTCTCAAGTAAGATACAGAACCTAGTTCAGTTGAAACAGGAGGATAAACTTCATAGGATGACGGAGTGATTTCTGTCATATTATCTTTTAGGTAGTGATCCCTCTGAAATGAGATTGAAGGTGCAGATAAGGGAGGATATGATCCTTCCACAGGGGGAGAATTAGGGAATTTATGAGGAGGAGCATTAGTAGAGCACCCCATGGCTTTGTGTTCAGTATGTGCGACAAGAGGAGAAGAAATCCTTCGGTGACATAATTGGCCATTCCTCGTGCTGCTGATGATAAGAAATGATAGCAGAAAAATATTGATATACCTTTTGCTGGATGCTGATGGTTCATTCCCTTAGTAGGTGCAACAGTTGGAGCAATTGCTCTTTTACGGTTGATGCTTGGCCACGGAGTTGATACAGGGGATATATCATGCTTAACTACAGTAATAACACTGACTCAAATTAAATATGCTGACAGTGCCACTTTGAAAACCAAGTAGCTATTTAACAGAAAAAATGGGAAAACGAAATAAAACACATTCTTATATCTTTCTGAAGGCAAGGACAATCCAAAAAGAGGAGCACTGACTATTTCAACTTCGAACACATTCAGTAGGCATCAGTTCATTTTTCTTAGCTAGTTCTACATTGGCAATCATTAACAATTTGGAAGCAAGCAAGCCTCTAGTTAAGATTCTATTGATTTGGTTTTTTACTTGAGGAGGTGACTACTTGAGGTACAATTGCCAAGAGTATGTGTAGATTGCATCAAGCCAAAAAATATTTGGTTGAAATATGAAAGTACATGTACATGAGCAACACTAGCAAGCACTGTTACCTGGTGAAACGGATGGAGGTTTTAGAGGATGTCTTGGATGGCTGGGTGGTGAATTGTTAGGCAACCTCCTCGGAGGTGGTGCAACTGTCGCTGCAAATTCAGCGCATAGATGATCAGATCTTGTTTATAAACAATTTATTTGCAGAAATATCACTCACTAAATACACGGAGGAAGTATACCTGGTGGAATAGATGGTGAAACTTTTGGATTGGTTGGCCGAGCGGGCAGTGGATTTTGCGGCTTTTCCCTTGGAGAAGGCGCATTAAGGACTGAATGCAATGAGAGAAAGCTCTATAATGTAAAAATTCATGCATTCATGATCACATCTAATTTACACTTCATTTTTTTTCTTATGAAGTATCACATGCTTCCTTTGTGCCGTTTTTATATGACAATCTTTCTTTCTTAGTCTGTTCTAAAAAGAATGACACCTTTTTATATTAAGAAACTCTTCAACCTTAAAACTTTCATTTTACCTGTTAGAATAGAAATAAGTATTTCCTACTTAGAATAGAAATAAGAATAGGAATAGGAATAAGAATAGGAATCCTAGTTGGAAAAGGATTCCAATGTAGTGTCTATAAATAGGGTCTCAATGTAACTATTTAGATACACAATTCAATAATATTTTTCATATATATTTCTCACATGGTATCAGAGCATTGGTGAGAACAAACAAGTCACCGTATGTCTATGTCAATTTCCGGTGACTGTTGGGTCTGATTTTGTTATACTTTTTTCTTTCTGTGGGTGTTGTGCGAAAACCAACACCACCACGAGGCTCGGAAAGCCCCCGCGACCAAACCCCAGCCAAAACCACCGGAAAACACCACCCCACGCGCTCTCACGCGCCTATCGGAGGTGGCAGTTTCCGGCGAGATCTGTCTCACGCGCCGGCGCGTGAGGGCTTTTCTGATCATATTTTTTTGAGATTTTTTTGACAGTTGGGGTCGTCCAGCCAATCCGACCAGGCCCATACTGTTTTTGACCAGATCCGATCGCCGGAATTAGAGTTCCAGCTATTTCCAGGCAGTTTCCGGCGACTTTTCTTCGAGATTTGAATTTTCCGAGACAAATTTAGCATAATGTCTTTTGGGTGTGATGTTTTTGGTTCCAAAAATATGGGGATTGGAAGTTCTAGCCCTATAATCACTTCAGAACTTTTATTGGGAAGTTCAAACTATTTATCTTGGGCTTCCTCGGTTGAGTTGTGGTGCAAGGGTCAAGGTGTCCAAGATCACTTAACGAACAAGGCTTATGAGGAAGATGCAAAAGCCAAAGCACAATGGGAGAAAGTAGATGCTCAATTATGTAGTCTCCTATGGCGTTCTATTGATTTCAAGTTGATGCCCTTGTTTCGCCCATTCCAGACGTGTTATACAGTTTGGGAAAAGGCTCGTGCTTTATACACTAATGACATATCTCGATTCTATGATGTGATATCTCGATTGACCAACTTAAAGAAACAAGAATCCGATATGTCTACTTTCTTAGGACAGGTACAGGCAGTCATGGAGGAATTTGACACATTAATGCCAGTTACTACGAATGTGGAAAAACAACAAGAACACAGACAAACATTGTTTCTAGTTCTTACTCTTGCTGGACTTCCTCCTGATCATGATTCTGTACGTGATCAGATTTTAGCTAGCCCTACAGTTCCTACAATCGATGAATTATTCTCTCGTCTCCTTCGTCTTGCGGCACCTCCCAGTCACAAGGTAGTTTCATCACCCACTGTTGACTCATCTATTCTTGCATCTCAAACCTTTGAAAAGCGTACATATCAATCTATGGAGAATCGGCGAGGAGGAAGGCGTTTTGGGAAACCTCGATCCAAGTGTAGTCATTGTCATAAGCCTGGACACACTCGTGATATATGTTATATTTTGCATGGTCCACCACCCAGTTATGATCCTATTGTTCTAAAGGAATATAATGAGTTCCTTCGAAATCGCGCAAGTAAACAGACATCTCCACCAGTAGCATATGGTGCTCAACCTAATCAACCATCCAATAATGCTCATATTGCTCAGACAGAATATGATGAGTTCCTTCAGTATCGTGCAAATAAGCAAACGTCTCCACAAGTAGTTTCGGTTGCACAACCTGATGTCTCTGTTGCGGGTAATTCTTTTGCTTGTGTGTCGCAATCTAGTACTCTTGGAACATGGGTCATGGACTCTGGGGCTTCTGATCATATCTCTGGTAATAAATCACTTTTATCCGATATTGTTTATTCACAATCTCTTCCAGCTATTACTTTAGCCAATGGGATCCAAACCAAACCAAAAGGGGTTGGAAAAGCCAAACCCCTATCTTCTGTCACCCTAGACTCTGTTCTTTATGTCCCTGGTTCTCCTTTTAATCTAGCATCTGTTAGTCGTTTGACGAAAGCCCTACATTGTAGCATAACTTTTTTCGATGATTTTTTTCTCATGCAGGACCGCAGTACGGGACAGATGATTGGAACAGGACATGAATCACAAGGCCTTTACTATCTTACCTCTTCAAATTCCTTAGCAGCATGCTCCGTTACAGATTCCCCAGATTTAATTCACAAACGTTTGGGACATCCGAGTCTATCCAAACTGCAAAAGATGGTGCCTAGTTTGTCTAGTTTATCCACATTAGATTGTGAGTCGTGTCAACTTGGGAAACACACTCGTGCTACGTTTTCTCGTAGTACTGAGGGTCGTTCAGAGTCTATTTTTTCATTAGTTCATTCTGATATTTGGGGTCCTAGTAGAGTCAGTTCCACCTTAGGATTTCGTTATTTTGTTAGTTTCATTGATGATTATTCAAAATGTACTTGGGTTTTCTTAATGAAAGATCGTTCTGAGTTATTTTCTATTTTCAAAAGTTTCTTTGCTGAAATACAAAATCAGTTTGGTGTTTCTATTCGTACTTTTCGTAGTGATAATGCCTTAGAATACTTATCCTCCCAATTTCGGGAGTTTATGACTCACCAAGGCATTATTCACCAGACTACTTGTCCATACACCCCTCAACAAAATGGTGTAGCTGAAAGAAAAAATCGGCATCTTATTGAGACCGCTCGTACTCTTCTCCTTGAATCCAATGTTCCATTGCGTTTTTGGGGAGATGCAGTTCTTACGTCTTGTTATTTGATAAATAGAATGCCCTCTTCTTCTATTCAGAATCAGGTTCCCCATTCCATACTGTTTCCTCAGTCACATCTCTATCCTATCCCTCCTCGTGTCTTTGGGAGCACATGCTTCGTTCATAACTTAGCCCCAGGAAAAGATAAATTAGCTCCTCGTGCCCTCAAATGTGTCTTTCTTGGTTACTCTCGAGTCCAAAAAGGGTATCGTTGTTATTCACATGATCTTCATCGATACCTTATGTCTGCTGATGTTACATTTTTTGAGTCTCAGCCTTACTATACATCTTCTGATCATCCTGATGTCTCTATGGTCTTACCCATACCTCAGGTTTTACCTGTGCCAACCTTTGTGGAATCTACGGTTACTTCTACATCTCCAGTTGTAGTGCCACCACTACTAACTTATCATCGCCGTCCACGTCCAACCCTAGTCCCAGATGATTCATGTCATGCGCCAGACCCTGCTCCTACTGCGGACTTGCCTCCTCCTAGCCAACCGCTTGCACTTCAAAAAGGTATACGATCCACTCGAAATACTAACCCACATTATACCTTCTTAAGTTATCATCGTCTATCATCACCCCATTATGCATTTGTGTCGTCTTTGTCCTCTATTTCCATTCCTAAGACTACAGGTGAAGCACTTTCTCATTCTGGATGGAGGCAGGCTATGGTTGATGAGATGTCTGCTTTACATAAGAGTGGTACTTGGGAGCTTGTCTCCCTTCCTGCAGGTAAATCTACTGTTGGTTGTCGTTGGGTTTATGCAGTCAAAATTGGTCCAGACGGTCAGGTTGATCGACTTAAGGCTCGCCTTGTTGCCAAAGGGTATACTCAGATATTTGGGCTAGATTATAGTGACACTTTCGCTCCTGTGGCTAAAATTGCATCTGTTCGTCTTTTTCTATCTATGGCTGCCGTTCGTCATTGGCCTCTTCATCAGTTGGACATTAAGAATGCTTTTCTGCATGGTGATCTTGAGGAAGAAGTCTATATGGAGCAACCACCTGGTTTTGTTGCTCAGGGGGAGTCTGGTAGCCTTGTATGTCGATTGCGCAGGTCACTCTATGGTCTAAAACAGTCTCCTCGAGCTTGGTTCGGGAAGTTCAGCACAGTAATTCAGGAGTTTGGCATGACTCGTAGTGGAGCTGATCACTCTGTGTTTTATCGGCATTCTGCACCAAGTCGATGTATCTATTTGGTTGTTTACGTTGATGATATTGTTATCACCGGTAATGATCAAGATGGTATCACCGATTTGAAGCAACATCTCTTTAAGCACTTCCAAACTAAAGACCTTGGCAGATTGAAGTATTTTCTAGGTATTGAGGTTGCTCAGTCTAGATCAGGTATTGTTATTTCTCAGCGCAAGTATGCCTTAGACATTCTTGAGGAGACAGGGATGATGGGATGTAGACCTGTTGACACTCCTATGGATCCGAATGTTAAACTTCTTCCAGGACAGGGGGAGCCACTTAGTAATCCTGAAAGGTATAGACGACTTGTTGGAAAGTTGAATTATCTCACAGTGACTAGACCTGACATCTCTTTTCCTGTGAGTGTTGTAAGTCAGTTTATGACTTCCCCTTGTGATAGTCATTGGGAAGCAGTTGTTCGTATTCTGCGATATATAAAGTCAGCTCCCGGTAAAGGACTACTCTTTGAGGATCAAGGCCATGAGCATATCATTGGATATACAGACGCTGATTGGGCAGGATCACCCTCTGACAGACGTTCGACATCCGGATATTGTGTTTTAGTAGGAGGTAATTTGGTGTCGTGGAAGAGCAAGAAACAGAATGTGGTTGCTCGATCTAGTGCAGAATCAGAATATCGAGCAATGGCGACAGCAACTTGTGAGCTAGTTTGGATCAAACAGTTGCTGGGAGAACTAAAATTTGGCAAAGTTGATAAGATGGAACTTGTGTGTGATAATCAAGCGGCTCTTCATATCGCATCAAATCCAGTGTTTCATGAAAGGACTAAGCACATTGAGATTGACTGTCACTTTGTCAGAGAAAAGATACTCTCGGGAGATATTGTTACGAAATTTGTGAAGTCAAATGATCAGCTTGCAGATATCTTCACCAAGTCCCTCACATGTCCTCGTATTAATTACATCTGTAACAAGCTAGGTACATATGATTTGTATGCACCAGCTTGAGGGGGAGTGTTAGAATAGAAATAAGTATTTCCTACTTAGAATAGAAATAAGAATAGGAATAGGAATAAGAATAGGAATCCTAGTTGGAAAAAGATTCCAATGTAGTGTCTATAAATAGGGTCTCAATGTAACTATTTAGATACACAATTCAATAATATTTTTCGTATATATTTCTCACATTACCCTTTCATGACATGCTCCTATAGCCATAAAAATATCATCATATGTTTAAGAAGACAAATTCTAAGGCTACCTTTGGTATGCATTGGAAGTCTTTCTTTCTTTCTTTTTAACCTCTGTGCCCAATCAAACACCACCGTATAAAATGAAATGGAGGGAGCACTAGATAAATATAGTGTGAATACCTGGTGGAATAGATGGTGAAACTTCTGGAATGATTGGGTGGGTGGGCAGAGGATTTTGTGGCTTTCCCCTTGGAGAAGGTGCATTCAGGACTGAGCAAAATAATGTACAAAATTTAATGGCATCCGTGATCAGATCTAATTTACTCTGAACTTCATTCTAACATGAATGTCACACTTTCTTTTAGAAAAAAGACAAGGATACCTGGTGGAATGGATGGTGAAATTTCTGGATTTCTTGGGAGGGTGGGCAGTGAATTTCGCGGCTTTCCCCTTGGAGCAGGCGCATTCAGGACTGAGTTAAATAACAGCAAAACAAAATAATGTGATAATCATTTTCTATCTTAAGATACTGTGTCAAAACCAAAATTATCGTCAGCCAATTATTACCCGGGGCAATTGAGGGGAGAGGACTCTCTGGAGACTTGCTCTCACTGGGTGGCATAGATCCAGGTAGCGGTGGAGCTTTAGTTGGTGCATCTTCAGTAGATTTCCTTCCAGGTGACGAGACTGGTGCTGCTCTCCAAAAAAATTATCAACTTAAACAGAAATCAAGTCATTTCAACATTATGACTACAGTCAGCCACATACCTGGAGCTTCTGGAACAACAACAGGCTGTTCAGTATGTCGATGCTCTCTCTTAGGAGCACTCGGAGGCAGAACTGGAGCGGGATCATTCCACACTATTGGAGGAGGAGGAGATGGTAGAGAAACAATTTGTGGTGGGGCTGAATTGATTGCGGGTGGAGCTGAACTAGGTGGTGGCAATATTATGGGAGCACTTGGTTGCAGAGACGGTGTAAGAACTTCTCTCGGTGGAGGGACAGGGGGGGACATCAGTGGTGGAAAGACATTTGCAGGAGGAGATGTTACTGAGTTAAAAAAAAAAACATAAGATGAATAACATAAAGCATCAAATTTGGTTAATAGATTTGGAAGCCAAGAATCACGGTCTGACCATTTAACTCAAATGCAGGAGCAGGTGCATTACTTGTGGATGCATTCCCATGAGAGACAAAAGAGGGTATTCCCTCTTCAACAGGAGGAACTGCAGAGGATGCTGACGGAGAGGGCGATAAACTGACGCCTAAAATGAATTCCAAAAAAATTATATTAGGTTAGATATGCAGTTCTTCATTTGAAAAGATTCTCCATTTCACAAAAAACTTAGTGGAAATGACAGCTCGAACACAGATAAAAAGACATTAGCAAAATCATTTCCCTCCTTTTCAACATACTTAGATTAATTACAATCATAAAGCGTATACGGAGGGGATGATGAACGTGAACAGTTTATCATTTTTTTCCATGGTCTTACATTACATGTCTGAGTAACTTATTTGCAAATAAATCGACAAGGCAATACATCCCAACAAGATGGCACGCCATTGAAATAAAACCAGGCTAATTATCCCATGGTGGATTAATATAGTCATTGCAGGCATCAATTTGCAACCAACCGGTAAGAAGCTTTAATTAGAACAAAATAAGTAGGGACTATAAAGGGAAAATCAGTGATCAATGAAACAGTTAAATTGCAAAAACAAAACCAAGCTAGAGAACTCAAGGCACAAATTTCAGTTTGGCATAAAAACACGAGTAAACAAAATTCAGAATGTAATAGTCTCATTCCCTCACACACACACACCAGATGAATCAATCTGATTTGAGTGCTACAAAATTATCAAATCTGGGACCAAAATTCAGAACTCAAAATTACCAATACTAAACTTACTGAGCACAAAACTCATAAATAAATAAATAAATAATTAGGTAGTTGAAGAAGTAGAGAAAGAGAAGAATTTACCTGCAGATCCCTTAGAGAAAGCAAAGGCACATAATTCCAGCACCAAACAAACAAGTTGCAGCTTCACTCCACCCATCCCATAAACCTCACAACATAAGCAGAAAATATGTACCAAAAAAAAGAGATAAAATTAGATAAGTTGAAGCAATAACAAAGAAAAAAAAGGAAAATTGAGAAAGAAGCAATGAAGAGGCAGAAACGCCCAAAAATGGGGTGTAAGGAGGAGCATAAGAAGGTGTGTTTGTGAGATTAACATGCTATACATAGGCGTTTCAGGTAGCATGTGAGTGAGCAATTAAACTATTAAAGCTAAACTAATAAGCTTTTAGCTAAAACACAAACACCCTTTACTATAACAACTAACAGCTACTACCTTTTTAACAAACACACACAAAACTGTGACTGTGAACCTTAATTTTTACATCATATTATATTTTTTTGTTTTCTTTTTTTTAAAAATAAAAATTAAAAACAGTATAAAAATCATATCATTCTTTGTTGTTTTCGAAAATACACTTACCTAGAATAATTTAAGAGAGAGATTGTACAAAAAAAACTTCTTTTTTTAATTACAAGTGGTAAGCACTGTACTCTCTATTACCTTTACTTGTCGAGAATTAACTTAGGTACACCCCTTCAAAAGGTAAAAAATATAATAATTTTATTATATCAAAATTTAATGTTTTGAAAAAATTATTAAAAAATGACTATGTTTAATAATAAAAATAAATTAAAAAATTAAATGATGAATTATTTTATTTTCAACTTTAATATAATGAACAAGTTAAAATTAGCGATTTTAAAATTATTAGTTATTATTTTATTGGGGGTGTAAATAGGAAGAAGAGACAATTAATGGTGCAACTCTTTTTGGTTGGATTACATGTATATAGACTGATATGCAGAGTTATGAGATTCTCCATCAAACTTTTTTACCAAGCAACAAGTATCAATACCTTAGGGAAACCAAGTAATATTGATTATAAAAAAATCTAGGTCATTAAATTATGTTTGGCACACATATTTAGTTGTAATTAGTTTACAGATAATTTTATTGTATAATAATTAGAGGATTTGGTCTGAAATTTTAGGGATTTGTGTAGTTGATCCTGGTTTTAGGTAATTGATGTTGTGAGTTGAGTTGTGTGGGCATGTGTCAACTGCCATTTGACACCTCAACTTGTTCTACTTTCTTATTTTAATTTAATTAACCAACTAAATTATTGGACCCTACCCTTAGGGTACATCTACATCTATGGGCTTTTTCTGTCAAACCCTTTTATTTTCCACCTAAAATTTTCACTTCTTTTTTATGTGCTTCTCAAAGGACTCGTTTAGTGTGAGGGATTAAAAATAATAGTAATGTGATAAAAAAAAAATATGTTGTTTGATTGTCATGTTTGGGATAACTTATTCCACTATTTATATCATAGTGATGGGAGTATAGCTAACCCCAGGATAACTTGTTTCCAACCAAACGACCCCTAAGTGTCACACTTGTACTCTCGTTTAATTTGTTTTTATGATTTTGATATGATATTAAATTCAAGAAAATATATTTTTTTTAATTTTATAATTTTTAAATAAAAATAATATATTAAATTTATCAAAATTTTTTTAAAATTTTATGATTTTAAACATGATATGTAAAAAGTTAAAATTAAAGAATTGATATAAAAAGGAAAATAATCATTTTTAATAGATTAAAAAAGAAAAGTAAGCTTGAAATGGTTCTCAATTTTGGTATTAAGTAATACTTCATTCATTCACTTTTACTTCTCTATTGTACTAAAAAAGAGGTTCAGTTTTACTTGTCTAATTTAAAAAATCAAAAGATAATTTATCATTTAATATCTATTTTATTCTTATTATTAAGTAGTAAATTATTATTTAATTTATTATTTCTTAAAAGGTAAATCAAATTATTATTGACAAGTAAAAATGAATGAAGAGAGTATAATTATTCTTGATACTTCATTCTCCTAGTATAATAATGACATTGAAAGAAGAAGGGGGTGATTTCAAGCATTTTCAGTGTTGTTATAAAGTATCTTTCCCTAATTTATTCTAGCTGACGACTTTTATGAGTTCCACATTAAATCTAAAGGTACTATATGTGAACGTTAAATCAAATAGTTTAATCATAGTAATCAAAAATTAAAGTGATATATGAATAAAATACATTTTATTTATGTGTTTTTCGATACAAATACTGATAGGGGCAAATTATTCCATGGACACAAGTAGGGATTCTCCATTTAAGCAGCAATTAGTCAACGGATTAATATAATTCTTACATTTTTGTGACCTGCTCAAGATTCATAATGCGTCATTGGGACACTTACGAGGCTCCACAACGATCAATTTTGCTGACTCTCTTCGTTTATTATACGTTGTCTAACAATACTTATTTAGTTTGATTAATAGTTGTCTAACAATACTTATTCAATCACAAAATAATTTACCCTTTTATGTTTATTTTTACCCTGTAATTACAAGAGATGTCAATAGCCTTTTGATTCCATATCATTGAGCTTCTAATGAGGCCATTTTTGTCTTTTCAATTATGATACTGTATAAAAAAAGATTGGTTTAGGAACATCTTCCTCACAATTGAATCAGAGTGAGACAGGCAAGATTGGGAGGGCCCTCTGTTTTTGAATGCATTTTAATGGAAAACAATAATTGTATTTCTTTGTTTGCATTTTTCATGGAAAACAATAATTGTATTCCTTGGTTTGGAAATATTTTTTCTCTTTCAATTTCTTTTTCAAGCAAATCGCTCTGTAATACATTCATTTCTTCAATACCTCTTCTATATTTTTATTTGTCAATTATATTATATATAGATGTCCATTTTTATTTATCCGATTTAAAAAATCAAGAAATAATTTATTATTTTATGTCGACCTTTTATCCTTATTATTAAATATTATTCATTTTTCAATATTTAAATAACTTATAATAATTAGAAGTGATATAATAAATTATTTATTAAGAGTACTTTTTAAGAAATAAATTAGTTAAACATAAACAAATAAATATAAATAAAAAGGTGTAATTTTTTAACTAATATACATGGACAAAAACAAGTAAGTTGACACTTGGAAGGCTTTGCTAAACTGTAAAGAGAAAAAAGAAAAATAAAGGATATGTAAATTAATTCACTTTGTATGAATCTCTGATAGGTAGCAAGACTAAATTAAGGTACTATGAATGAATCACAAAAAGCTTTAGGGTGTGTTTGGTATGAAGGAAAACATTTTCCGGAAAATGTTTTCCAATTTTCTCATGTTTGGTTGGGCTAAATGTTTTGGAAAATGTTTTCCAAATCAATTCATTTTCCTCAAATTTAAGGAAAATGACTTCCCTTCTAAACTTAAGGAAAACATTTTCCAAAACTCTCTTCCAACTTCAAATTACAATTATTTTTTATTGAAAAATCAATTTATTCCTCAAACCACCCCCCAACCAACCCCTCCCCAAAAAAATAAAAAATTTAAAGTTTGTTTTTAAATTCAATTTTTTTACCCCGACCTCATCCCTACCCCCACCCCCTCCCAAAAAAATATTAAAAAATATTTTAAAAAAATATTTTCAATTTCAAAATTTCATTTTTCCACCCCTACCCTCGACCCCACCCACCCACCCCCTACCAGCCGCCCCACCCCCAAAAAAAATAAAAAATTTCAAGTTTGTTTTTAAAAAATATTTTCAATTTCAAAATTTCATTTTTTCACCCCTACCCTCGATCCCCACCCACCCACCCCCTACCAGCCCCCCCACCCCCACCCCCAAAAAAAAATAAAAAATTTCAAGTTTGTTTTTAAAAAATATTTTCAATTTCAAAATTTCATTTTTTCACCCCTACCCTCGATCCCCACCCACCCACCCCCTACCAGCCCCCCCCACCCCCACCCCCAAAAAAAAAATAAAAAATTTCAAGTTTGTTTTTAAAAAATATTTTCAATTTCAAAATTTCATTTTTTCACTCCTACCCTCGACCCCCACCCACCCGCCCCCTACCAGCCCCCCCCCCACCCCCACCCCCAAAAAAATTTTAAAATTTCAAGTTTGTTTTTAAAAAATATTTTCAATTTCAAAATTTCATTTTTTCACCCCTACACTCGACCCCCCCCCCTTCACCCACCCCCTACCACCCCCCCACCCCCCAAAAAAAAATTTAAGTTTGTTTTTTAAAACTATTTTCAATTTCAAAAATTATTTTCTACTCTAATAAAAATAAAAGATATTTCTCAAAAATATTTTTCATTCATAAATCAAACACTAAATATCTTTTCCGGAAAATATTTTCTACTCACCAACCAAACATGAGAAAATAAGTCAAAAATCAACTTGTTTTCCTGGAAAACATTTTCTAGGAAAACATTTTCCTTCATACCAAACACACCCTTAGTCTATTAATTTGCAACAAAGTTTTTCTAACCACACAAGTTTTACTAAAACTTCATTGCGACAAGTTAAAATTTAGATGAACACTTCAAACGCACCTCGTGGCTCATATTTTTACTATTTTCTCTGTTCCAATTAATGTGACACATTTTGAATTTTGAGATTCAAGTAAACTTATCTTTTAAATATTTTGAATTGTCAATTATCGTGACTTATACTACTTTTTTACATAGTTTAAAAATATATAAATTTTATTTTAAAAAAATTAAAGATTTCATGAAAAAATTCTTGATCAAACTTAAATTATTGATTCTCGATAAATAAAGTGTATTACATGAATTGAAATAGAGGGAGTAGTAGTTAAAACATGGTGCCTCTTACCAACTCGTGGCTCATATTGTTACTAGTAGTTCAATTTAATTTGTTGTTTGTTTTCTTTAAAACCAGTGTCTTATTTTACTCATTATTGGTCCCACCATGGCAAAATAATTAGATTTAAACAAAATTGTACGTTTATAAAAGCCAATTATTTTATCTTTTATAATGGTAATAAAGCAACTTTAAAATGTGAATTGTTATTTGATGAGGAGCCTCTAAAGATGTGATTGACTTTGATTTTTTTTCTTTTTTAAAAAAAATCACAAGATTATGTGGGTCTTAAGCATT